ATAACTTTGCATGGTTTATATTTCTTATAATTCAAAGTATGCAGTTTAATTATGTATTTCTGATCTGTCTTAATGAAGGGTAACTCCAATCAGCATTATTTTTACAATGTATTTATGCTGATTGTAAGCCACACTGAGGTTTTAATTTCAACTTGATACTTCATAATTGAGAAGAAAGTACAAATCAGAAAAGCAGAGATGATTTTCAGAATTATTTTGGAGGGGATTGATACTGACTGTGTTGTAATGGGTGAGAGCATGGGCTTCAGAGTTGAGCAGACGTGACTCTACTCTTTCTGGCTGGGTGACCTTGGGGAAATTCTTTATTCCCTCTGACATTGAATTTTTTTTCTCTGCAATTGGAATAATAAAATCTATCTGAGAGATACTGCTAGGATTAAATAGGGGGAAAAATCCAAGTAAAGCATTTGACATAGTGTGTAGCCCATAATAAACATTTAATATGTGTTATTATTTTTAATGCTACTGTTAATGGTATAATTTACATAATTATCTGATTTCTTTTTTCCTAATTCCTGAGTGGGAAATAGTTGAAAAAGGCTTGAAAATATGTATATTAGCAAACTCTATCGTTTACTAATAGTAATCAAGTTATTTTTATAGATTACGTGGGCTAGAGTTGCATTTAGATGTTTGACATGTTTGGTTTCTCAACCAGATTGCAGTCACGTCACTACAGATTCATTTTCTCTTTAAATTGTAAAAAATAAAACAGTAGTACAGACTCATGTTTAAAACAGGAATCTGATCCAAGATTTTGGAGTTTGTAGAACTGATAATGTTTAATGTTCTCCATAAATTCATGGGGCTTAATAGGAAAGTACACAGAATTTTTAGAGCTTAAACAGACTTTAGAAATACTACTCTAATTCAAACTCTTGATCAAATGAGGAAACTCTGTAGGCAATTTAAATGAAGAATTCAGCTAAGATTCTTTATCTTTGTGTGAGAAGTAGATAAAGCTTTGCAAAAGAAAGAGGTACCTAATAATGATTAAATTATCATTGCTTCAAATTCTGATTGTTATGAATGCCTATCAAATAAATTTTAGAGCTTCCATCAATGTATATACTATTCTGTGTATTTTCTCTTAATATTATTATCCTGTATTTATTTGTTTATTTTTACTTATCTTTTTGAGACGGAGTTTCACTCTTGTTACCCAGGCTCGAGTGCGATGGCGTGATCCCAGCTTACTGCAATCTCTGCTTCCCAGGTTCAAGTGATTCTCCTGCCTCAGACTCCCGAGTAACTGGGATTACAGGTGTGAGCCACCACTCCCAGCCTATTATCCTTTATTTTTAAATTGCTACATAAAGTTACCCTGTTTGAACTGCATGGTTTGCTTGCTCATTCCCATGTTGTTGGGCATTTGAGTTTTCCCCACTTTTTCCTAATATAAATAGAACTGCTGGCCGGGTGTGGTGGCTCACGCCTATAATCCCAGCACTTTGGGAGGCGGGCAGATCACGAGGTCAAGAGATTGAGACCATCCTGGCCAACATGGTGTAATCCCATCTCTACTAAAAAATACACAAATTAGCTAGGTGCAGTGGCATGTGCCTGTAGCCCCAGCTACTCAGGAGGCTGAGGCAGGAGAATTGCTTGAACCCTGGAGGCAGAGGTTGCAGTGAGCTGAGATCATACCACTGTACTCCAGGCTGGTGCCTGGTGACAGAGCAAGACTTTGTCTCAATAAATAAATAGAACTGCTATACACATTTTTTTTTTTTTTAAGTAGAGACAGGGTCTTGCTTTGTTGTCCACGCTCGTCTTGAACTCTAAGCTTCAAGCAGTCCTGCTGCCTGGGCCTTCCAAAGTGTTGGAATTACAGGCCTGAACCACCATGCCTGGCTGCTATGCACATCTTTTATTAGGTTACTACCCTGCAATTCCCCTACCCCAGTTAATTCCTAGAGGGATAGTCCCACAAATTAATCAAGATATAGTATTACAGTACATTCTAGTTACTGGTAATTAGGCTTAAACTCACTTCACAAGTAGCTTGATATTGTAAATTCAAATACTAGAGATTTCACTAAATATGGGTCTTCTTAGGTGGCTGCTTTTTGTTAGGCAGAAAATCTTTTAACTGCATGGAATGAGTTACAAAGAGTTTTTTAAGGTAAAGAAAGGAAGGAAGGCTTGAGAAGAACCTGGGAAAATTTGACTCTTTTATAATTTCTCCTGAGTCTGATTTTCAGAGTGTTGTTTTCTTACACAGTATATCAAGCACATTCCAATTTTTTAAAGTGGAGATATACTAAAGTTATTGAAAAAGATGGAAAAAAGGTAGAGATAGAACTATTTAAAAGACAAATTTATAGGTTAGATTAACCATAAATAGATTTCTCTCCATTAGTGCAGAAGTGAGCATGTTTTGGACTTAACATCACGTAATTCTTTTGTTACAGAGATCCACTTTCATTTCTCAGACGTTAAATACAGACAGGAGTTTCAGTCTTTATAGCAGTCCTGCTGCCAGATACAATTCAGCCTTGATGGGAAGGAAGTCTTGTGGCCAGATGGGTGGAGATCCATGTACAAGGCCATAAAGATAAAATTGGAAAGAAGAAAATTAAAACTATAAGGGCTTCAGGACCAGGCTCTGTAACAAAGATGAACCTGATTACAGGCAACTTCCTGTTCTGAGTAGGGGCTTCTTTAGAATTATGAAGGAAATGCATCTCTTATTTTTATTTTTAGTTTATTTTTGGAATATATAGTAAATTCATATGGATCAAAATTCAAATGAAAATTCTCCTTCCCAACTGTGGTCCCCAGCCACTCCTTTCCTCTCCCGAGAGGCAACCAGTATTACTGATTATGTAATTATCCTTCCAGAATTATTTCATACATTCTACAAGTAAGAGAGAGAGAGAGAGTACATGAATGTTTCTATGTAACGATACACATGTATTTTCTTATTTTAATGAGTGGTTACAGAATATAGACACTGTTATATACCTTGCTTTTTCACCTAACACCAAATCTTGTAAATTATTCTGTATTCCTAGAAAGAACGCTTTTGCATTCTTTGAAAGCACTTTAAAAACGGCATGCGCCTACAGCAGGTTAAGGTAATTCTAATGCATGGATTAAGCCTATTACATAATAGCACTCAAGAAATTGTTATTTCCTGTAGCACCCCAAGAATATGGAAAAGAAAAGGAAGGGGTAAGGAATGGGCTAGACACAGTGGCTCATGCCTATAATCCCAATATTGGGAGGCCAAGGCACACAGATCACTTGAGGTCAGGAGTTCAAGACCAACTTGGCCCACATAGTGAAACCCTGTCTCTACTGAAAATCCAAAAAAAAAAAAGGAATGTTTGTTGATTAAATGAGGGAGAGAGTGAATTGCTTTATTAATTTAAGGTGCAAATAAGAAGAGGCAGAAAGCTAAAAATTACCTGAAGCTCTGAGACTGTTGACCTAACCCTGACTCTAGGATGACATCATAAAATGCATAGTTGTTTTAAGAGCATCAGAAATTTTCTTTAAGGCTTCATGTTGGGAAATGTCAATAGGAAGAGATGCCTTGGAGGTTGGAGGAAGAATGGAGTTACAGGATGGCCTTCGGACTCCAAGAGTCAGGAGACATGGCCACCATTTCACTGTGATAGGGCTCTAGGACTTGGAACAACTGGGTTTAGATCCTTTCTTCAAATGCAAAAAGAGGGGTTGGAGTAAATTATTCCAATGGACACTTTTAGCTCTTAAATTATGTTGTCTATAATTTTGAAATTTCCTGCCTGATCATCAATTTGCACATTTGTTATGCTGAAATTGTATTTGTAAATACATTAAAAATGAGGTGTCCTTTCTTTTTTATTTTTATTTATTTTTGAGACAGGGTCTCACTGTGTCACCCAGGCTGGAGAGTGGCACAATCATTGCTCATTGCAACCTCAAACTCCTAGGCTCAAGCAGTCCTGCCCCAGCCTCCTGAGAACTACAGGGCATGAGCCCCTGCACTAGGCTCATCCTTTTTTTTTGAGACAGAGTCTTGCTGTGTCACCCAGGCTGGAGTGCAATGGCACGATCTCTGCTCACTACAACTTCCTCCTCCCTAGTTCAAGCAATTCTCCTGCCTCAGCCTACTGAGTAGCTGCAATTACAGGTGTCCATCACCACACACATCTAGTTTTTGTGTTTTTAGTAGAGACTGGGTTTCAACATGTTGACCAGGCTGGTCTTGAACTCCTGACTTCAAGTGATCCGCCCACCTCATCCTCCCAAAGTGCTGGGATTACAGGTGTGAGTCACTTCGCCCAGCCCTCATCCTTTCTTTAAGATAATAAAAAAAAAGAAGGCCAGGCGCAGTGGCTCAAGCCTGTAATCCCAGCACTTTGGGAGGCCGAGGCGGGTGGATCACGAGGTCAAAAGATCGAGACCATCCTGGTCAACATGGTGAAACCCCGTCTCTACTAAAAATACAAAACATTAGCTGGGCATGGTGACATGTGCCTGTAATCCCAGCTACCCAGGAGGCTGAGGCAGGAGAATTGCTTGTACCCAGGAGGCGGAGGTTGCAGTGAGCTGATATTGCGCCATTGCACTCCAGCCTGGGTAACAAGAGCGAAACTCTGTCTCAAAAAAAAAAAAAAGATAATTAAAAAAAACCACACAGGTTGTTGGTAACAATGTGATTGTTAAGATAACAAAATTAGACTGTTAGAAATTGTTTGCCATGATTATATTCCTCACAAAATTTATTGGCTAAATTGTTAAGATAGAAGCAGATTTACATGGGTAGGACTAAATATCGCACACATTGACACATTTTGAGAGAATTAAAGCTCTGTATTTTTAATCTTTTATCAGATAGATTAAGATACTATAATATTAAAGTTATTCACTAGTAAATATAATTGTTATAAATGATAATGTATATATGTTTAACAATATTTATTATCAAGATAGTAGCTAATGGTAAATATAATTCATAGTAAAATATTTTTTCTTCTTTCTTTTAGTTAAGTTTGAGAGAGAAGCTAGTAAATACTGGGACACATTTTACAAGATTCATAAGAATAAGTTTTTCAAGGATCGTAATTGGCTGTTGAGGGAATTTCCTGAAATTCTTCCATTTGATAAAAAAACTGAAGAGAAGGCAAGAGAATCGTCATGGGATCATGTAAAAACTAGTGCTACAAATTGTTTCTCAAGAATGCACTGTCCTACTGTGCCTGAAGAAAAAAGTCATTATGTGAAAAGTTTTGGCTCTTCAGAAGGTCAAAGCAAAACAGAATCTGATTTTTCCAACCTAGACTCTGAAAAACACAAAAAAGGACCTATGAAGACTGAATTGTTTCCTGGTAGCAATGCCAGTTTCAGGATACTAGAGGTACTGTGTTCAAGGGACAAAAATGGGAGGTGACAAATAATATGAAAATGTATATTCTGTATTATTTTATTAATAATACAGATTTTTTGGTGGAAAACTATTAAATCTAAATAAGCATTCAGTATACTTTTGTGCATAAATAATATTTAAGGGACTCATGTCTTTAATCAGTCAAGTTTTAAGCTTGTGGTTTAAATTTGGTTTTGTTACTTTTTTTAAAAAAATTGTCTTTTCATTTTAATCTGAGGGCCGTTTTAAGTACCAATTAAGTTTTAGCCTTAATTTTTACTCTGTTTCTTATTACCCCTTTTTAGGTAAAATGGAAATAAGTGAGATATATAATTTGCGATAATCTGGTCTAGACCTTGGTCTTTTATTTATAAAACTAAACCCTGTCTTTCTGACTATAAAGGCATGTATATTGATTAGAGAGAGAGAGAGAATTTGCTAAAGAGGAGATAAATTATCAACAATCCTACGAACAAAGGATTTAACCACTATTAACATTTTACTGACCTTTTTCTTCTTCTTTTTTTTTTGGTTTGTTTTGTTTTGTTCTTGTTGCCCAGGCTAAAGTGCAATGGAGCCATCTTGGCTCACTGCAATTTCTGCCTCCCAGGTTTAAGCAGTTCTGCCTCAACCTCCAGAGTAGCTGGGATAACAGGCTCCCGCCACCACACCCAGCTAATTTTTTTGTATTTTTAGTAGAGACAGGGTTTCGCCATGTTGGCCAGGCTGGTTTTGAACTCCTAGCCTCAGGTGATCCGCCCACCCAGACTCCCAAAGTGCTGGGATTACAGGCATGAGCCACCGTGCCCAGCTGACCGTTCTCTTCTTTTGTTTATATGCTGTACATGTATTTTGGGTTTTCTTTGTTTCTATTTAACATGGTATCATAAGCAGTTTTCACTGCCTTTAAAAATTATAAATACTTTCATGGCTACAAAATATGTGGAGTACTATAGTTTTTTTACTTTTGTATTTTCACACTACTGGACATTTTTTTTTTTTTTTTTTTTTTTTTTTTTTTTTGAGACAGAGTTTCGCTCTTGTTACCCAGGCTGGTGTGCAATGGCCCGATCTCAGCTCACCGCAACCTCTGCCTCCTGGGCTCAGGCAATTCTCCTGCCTCAGCCTCCTGAGTAGCTGGGATTACAGGCACGCGCCACCATGTCCAGCTAATTTTTTGTATTTTTAGTAGAGATGGGGTTTCACCATGTTGACCAGGATGGTCTCAATCTCTCGACCTCATGATCCACCCAGCTCGGCCTCCCAAAGTGCTGGGATTACAGGCTTGAGCCACCGCGCCCGGCTTTTTTTTTTTTTTTTTTTTTTTGAGATGGAGTTTCGTTCTTGCTACCTAGGCTGGAGTGCAATGGCGCGATCTTGGCTCACCGCAACCTCCGCCTCCTGGGTTCAGGCAATTCTCCTGCCTCAGCCTCCTGAGTAGCTGGGATTACAGGCATGCACCACCATGCCCAGCTAATTTTTTGTATTTTTAGTAGAGACGGGGTTTCACCGTGTTGACCAGGATGGTCTCGATCTCCTGACCTCGTGATCCACCCGCCTCAGCCTCCCAAAGTGCTGGGATTACAGGCTTGAGCCACCGCGCCCGGCTACTACTGGACATTTTAATTGTTTTCAGATTTTCTGAACCAAATGTCTTTGGGTATAGACTTTAGCTGCATTTTCTTTTATTGTTTTAGGTTAGATTTTCTAGTTCATAATTTATGAAGATTTTTAATACTCTTTTTTTTGTTTGTTTTTTTTTTGAGACGGAGTTTCGCTCTTGTTACCCAGGCTGGAGTGCAATGGCGCGATCTCGGCTCCTGGGTTCAAGCAATTCTCCTGCCTCAGCCTCCCGAGTAGCTGGGATTACAGGCACGCGCCACCATGCCCAGCTAATTTTTTGTATTTTTAGTAGAGACGGGGTTTCACCATGTTGACCAGGATGGTCTTGATCTCTTGACCTTGTGATCCGCCTGCCTCAGCCTCCCAAAGTGCTGGGATTACAGGCTTGAGCCACCGCACCCGGCCTGATTTAAATATTCTTAATGTTTTTCACTTTGTTAGACAAAAATTGTACCTTGCTTTAATATGCGCATTCTTTGATTACTGAGTAGGTCACATACTTCTTTAAATGTTTGAAATATTTTGTACTTCTTTTGTGTTCTGTGCATTTATTTTCTCTGCTTATCTGTTTTTTTCTAATGAGTCTTGCCCTTTATCATATTTATTGCAGGTTTTTTCACAGTGTATTGTTATTTTTTAATTTGGTTTAATTTGGGTTTTGGTGTGTAAAAATTTTAAATGGTTTCATAGTCCGATTTCTTAGTGTCATTCCTGTAATTTATTTCATTGCTTTTGTGTTTAGAAAACTCTGCTCTACCCAGAGATCTAGTAAGTTTCTAATCATTTTTTAAATAGAATATCTGACATTGGTGATAAAAATTTAACCTTGCTTTTTTGATATTTGCTTGTTCTTTTGATTTTAGGTTGGTTGTGGAGCTGGAAATAGTGTTTTTCCAATTTTGAACACTTTGCAGTGAGTTTTTTGAGTTTTTTTCCTTTAGAATTTTACATATTTATGGAATGTTGAGAAATTCTGGGAAAATACTGTTATGTGTATGCCAATAGTGTTTCTAATTCTTATACCAAAATGGCTCAAGCAGTTTTCAAAAGAAATGTCTTGACCAACTGCCTACTTTCATGTGAACTGGGAATTACTCTGAAAATAGCGTTTCATAGCCACGGGTTGTCCAACATTGTTTTGAAGTAATTTTCTTTTTTTTTTTGAGACGATGTTTCGCTCTTGTTGCCTAGGCTGGAGTACAACTACGCAATCTCGACTCACTGCAACCTCCGCGTCCCGGATTCAAGGGATTCTACTGCCTCAACCTCCCCAGTAGCTGGGATTACATGCATATGGCACCATGCCCGGCCAATTTTGTATTTTTAGTAGAGACAGGGTTTCTCCATGTTAGTCAGGCTGGTCTCGAACTCCCAGCCTCAGGTGATTTGCCCACTTCGGCCTCCCAAAGTGCTGGGATTACAGGTGTGAGCCACCCAGCCTTTTGAAGTAATTCTTTAAGCTTGTGTATATATGGGTGAGAGGATTAAAAAAAAAGAGGAAGCAAACCAGGCATCGTGGCTCACGCCTGTAATCCCAGCACTCAGGGAAGCAGAGGCAGATTACCAACATGGTGAAACCCCACCTCTATTAAAAATACAAAATTAGCCGAGCATGGTGGCACATCTCCATAATCCCACCTACTTGGGAGGCGGAGGCAGGAGAATTGCTTGAACATGGGAGGTGGAGGTTGCAGTGAGCCGGGACTGCACCGTTGCACTCCAGTCTGGGCAAAAAGTATGAAACTCCATCTCCAAAAAAAACAAAGAGGAAGCGATTTCATCCTTCCACTGAGCTGTGGACTGCTAAACTTCAGGGATTGTTTACTCCTCCTGGATACTTCGATGTCATTTTACACATAGAGAATTGAATTTAAAGCTTACAACTTAACCTTCATTTAGTCATCCTTCTGAAGCAACACCCTGTGTAAGATGTTTGCATGCCAAATCATTGTGTCTAGGCTTAAAATTGTTTGGAGGTAGCAGCAACTAAGCCTACTACTCAAAAAAGCAGAGGTCGGTTATAGCGACAGAGATATGCTCCAGGCTCGCCCTTCCTGTTCACCATTTCACCTCTGTCTTTTACTGTTTCCATGATGAAGACACAAAACTCTTCAAACATCTTTTATTTGTGGCCAGTCCGCCAAGCTCTATTCTTTTTTAAGTTTACACAATAGCATTCACATTATTTTTCCACTATAAAACTAGCATTAGCACATTGCAGAACATTTCTATTAGAGGAAAAGGGGAGGGAGGGAATCAGTCATCATCCCCGTCATCCTAACATAGCCACCAACAAAATTTTTGTTTTAATTCCTTTCAGTTTTCATGCATATTTTTAAATGATGTGATCTTCTAAACTTTTCATTATGAAAATTTAAAAGCATCCAGAGCCTGGTGCCGTGGCTCACACCTGTAATCCCTTTGGGAAGACGAGGCAGGTGGATCACTTGAGGTCAGGAGTTTGATACCAGCCTGACCAACATGGTGAAACCCTGTCTCTACTAAAAATGCAAAAAGTAGCTGGGTGTGGTGGTGCACACTTTTGTAATCCCAGCGACTCAGGAGGCTGGGGCAGGAGAATCACTTGAACCCAGGAGGTGGAGGTTTCATTGAGCGGAGATCACACCACTGCACTCCAGCCTGGGTGACAAAGCAAGAGACTCTGTCTCAAAAAAAATTTTATTTTGAGATTACAGGCATCTGCCACCGAGCCTGGCTAAATTTTTTTTTTTTTTTTTTTTTTGTATTTTTAGTAGAGATGGAGTTTCACTATGTTAGCCAGGCTGGTCTCAAATGCCTGACCTTGTGATCTGCCCGCTTTAGCCTCCCAAACTGCTGGGATTATAGGCTCGAGCCACCGTGCCCGGCAAAAAAATAAAAATAAATAAATAAGGCATTCAGAAAAGCAAAGAGTATAATGAATGTCCATATGCCCACCACCTCAGTTCAACAATTACCAATATAATGCCAACATGATGACACTTTATCTTGGATTATTCAGGATGTATCTCCCAAAATTCAGTATACTCTCTATATTATTATAAACCTAACATAATAAATAGTGAGTGATTCCTTATTATCATTTAATAACCAGCTAATATGGCCAGGCATGGGTGATGCTGGTAAATGTATAGTTTTGGATGCCCTTTCTCTTTGTGTATTTATCAGTTTTGCTTTTCTTTTTCTAATTTCTGGGCTGAAATTTCCAATTTCCTTATGCCACATAGCTATATTTCTTTACCCTAGTGATCTCTAAGCTTATGATCCACATAAATATATTATATTGGCCGTTGATTGTGTGTTACTTTATGACAGATCTCAAAATATTATTTAGCATGTCATTTCTTTATGCCTTCCTTGTCTCTCCAACCACTTTTTATATTCCTTAAGGTAGCGGGCATATTTTATCCTAATCTGATTTCCCAGGTTGCCTAACAGTACAGCATAGTTAGAGCTCAGTATATACCGACTGATTAATATCTCTGATTCCTCCACTTCCTAGTTGTAGTTTTCCCCTCTCTGCTTCTCCCTTCAACTTACAATTGCAAGCTCTTGGTTCCTCACTCCCTAACTTTTCTTGGCTGTATCTTTCTTTGCCTCATACCCATGTTTCAGAAATCACTGTATCTCAACCTGAGATAATTAATTCATCTTTAAAAGGCAACCAGTGATTAGCCTTCCAAAGGGATGATTAGAGTTTTTTTTTCTGCTTAAGAAATCATGTTTTACTACTTTTAGAGAGTATAGGATTAATGTTTTACATTTTCAGAATATTTTACCATAATTAGACCTCTGAAATGGAGAGGTCATATCATTCTCCAAGGATCATTTAATTCATAAACCCCCTGCCAAGAGACTGGTGGTGTGGTGGCAGTAGTGATATTTACCTGTTTGCTGGGAGAAGGGCCAAGGTAGTCAGCTGATTTTACAGAAAGGTTCTGAAAATCATTGGGTGGTCACAAGACATCAACTTGGGCTGCTTTTACTGTGGGAATTCCGTCTCAGAGGTCATGCTGCCACCTTGGCAGGACACATGGCAAATGGCACATGCTTTCCTTTAGCTCCTAGGGTGTTCTGTATCTATGGGTATTTGGTAACTACTGCACAAAGGTAGACTGCAGAGAATTTGTAATGAGCTAGACACACCAGTGTCCAGAAAAGCATTTTGAGCTATATGGAAGCTTTTTGTTTTGTTTTGTTGTTGTTGTTGTTTGTTTTTAGAGGGCTATGTTAGTTTTTAAGTTCCTGGAAGGCAAAAGCAATTTCTTTTAATAATAATAGTGATAATAATAGCAATAACAATTATAATAATGACTAACATCTATTGAGTGCTTACTCTGAGTCAGGTACCTTTCTGGAAACTTTAGCTATAAGAATCCATTCATGTGATAGAGTATGTTAGGAAGGATTTAAAAAAATAATAATAATAATCCATTCAGTTCAAACAACCACCTTAGATGCCATGTTTATCTCTTTTTTAAAGAGGAGGGAACTGAATTAAAGAAGAGATTAAGCAACTAGCCCAAGGTCACGCAACTAAATAGTAAAGCTGAGAATCAAACCTTAGGCCAGGCGTCCCCAGACTATGGCCGGCGGGCCTGCATGTGGCCCCCTGAGGCCATTTATCTGCCCCCCACACCCCCCACCCCCGCCCCGGCCACACTTCAGGAAGGGGCATCTCTTTCATTGGTGGTCAGTGAGAGGAGCACAGTATGTGGCGGCCCTCCAACGGTCTGAGGGACAGTGAACTGGCCCCCTGTTTTAAAAGTTTGGAGACGCCTGCCTCAGGCAGTCTGGTTCCAAAGCCCTTGCCGTAACCATTAGCCACATAGTGCTATAGGTATCTGAGTGTTTCCTGAGAACATTTCAAACGCATTTCAAACCACCCAGCAAATTACAAGTCACAATTACGTGGATTTCATAGGAAACAACCAGGGAATATGCTGAAGTAAAGTACTATTTTTATGTGAGATGGATGAGAAAAGACCAAGCAGTACAAGTTTTAACTTTGGTTCGGTACTGGTTAGCTTTTCATAACCAAATCCTATTCATCATACTTTAACTTATTTGGATAGATCTTAAATTGAATGCAAATCTCTAGTGCCACAGAATGAGTGAATTATGGGTGAGCATAGTTATTCATCAATGAGTTGCCTTTAAGAATATAATCTGAGGCCGAGCACAGTGGCTTACGCCTGTAGTCCCAACACTTTGGGAGTCCGAGGTGGGTGGATCACCTGAGGTCATGAGTTTGAGACCAGCCTGACCAACATGGTGAAACCCCGTCTCTACTAAAAATGCGAAATTAGCTGGGCATAGTAGAGCATGCCCGTAATCCCTGCTACTTGGGAGACTAAGATGAGAGAATTGCTTGAACCCAGGAGGCAGAGAATGCAGTGAGCTGAGATCATGCCATTGGACTCCAGCCTGGGCAAGAAGAGCAAAACGCCGTACCCCCGACCAAAAAAAAAAAAAAAAAAAGCCTCCTGAGTTGCTGGGATTACAAAAGTGTGCACCACCACAACCAGCTACTTTCTGCATTTTTAGTAGAGACAGGGTTTCACCATGTTGGCCAGGCTGGTATCAAACTCCTGACCTTAAGTGATCCACCTGCCTCATCCTCCCAAAGGGAGGTTATATATAACCACATAACCAGAGCCTGGGTCAGATTTTGCTAAATGCATATTTGGGCTTGTATTCCATATTTATTTATTTAGAAGTTTAGAAGTTCACCTTGCTTGGAATACCTCTTGAGTCAGATTAGAAGTCTTAATGATATGCTTCAAGGCCCACCTTTATATCCTGCCATATACCAGTTTGAGTCTCAGGATTAATGCTACTTCTCATCCTGGCAAGTGACACCCACCTCTAAATTCTTCAGCCATTTCCCCTTCTCCTCAATTAATAATGTCATCCTTCTCCTTCAGAACTTTTAAGACTTATACCTCAGGGTGCTGGCCCTTTCCATACCCCTGTAGAAGTTGTATAAAACCAATTATGTCCCCAACTAGACTATAAAACCTATGAGACCCAGGACCGTCCTCACTGTTTTATGACATGCTCACCTCTTTCTATGATTCAGACATGGTACTAAGCAACATGATGCAAGGATTATTTGATACCAGCATACACAGCATCATCAGCAGGAGTATGGGCCTACAAAATTCAGAGTATATGGCTGCCTTAAGTAACCGTGGACCAGCCATCATTACTAAATTTCAAATAAAGACCAAACAGAACACATTTAACTTGAGAAGAAGCCAATTAAAAATCATACTGCCTATTGTCCAGGAACAGTGGCATTCATCTGTAGTTCCTGCTACTTGGGAGGTTGAGGCGGGAGAATCACTTGAGCCCCAGAGGTTGAGGCTGCAGTGAGTCGTGATTGTGCCACTGCACTCCAGCCTGAGTGAGAGAGCGAGACTCTGTCTCAAAACAAAGCCGGGGTGTGGAGGGTGGAAATACTTATTAACAAGTCAAACCTATAGTTTCCTTTCTTCTCTAGTTTGAGCATATCTGGACTCCAGATTTAAATATTTCTTCTGGCCAAGCACATTGACCCACACCTATAATTCCAACAGTTTGAGAGGCTGAGGCAGGATCATTTGAGAACAGTAGTTCAAGATCAACCTGGGCAGCATAGTGAGACCCCCATCTCTGCAGAAAAAATTTAAATTAGCTGGGCATGGTGGGGCACATCTGTAGTCCTAGCTACTCAGGAGGCTGAGGAAGGAAGATCGCTAGAGCCCAGGAGCTCAAGGTTATAGGTAGCTATGGTCATGTTACTACACTCCAACCTAGGGCAACAGAGCAAGACCCTGTCTCTAAAAAACAAATAAATATTTCTTCCATCTTCATAGGAACTCTCCAGAGTCCTTTCTTTATTGTTGTGATTTTGCTTCTGGAGCCGTGGAGCTCGTAAAGGTATGCTACTCCTGGGAATCATACCGACTAATGCCTGTGATATTACCCTAGAACAATAAAAGTTGTTTTGATTTTAAGATCACTAGAGGCCTGGTGTAGTGGTTCGTGCCTGTAACCCCAACACTTTGGGAGGCTGAGGTGGGCGGATCACCTGAGGTCAGGAGTTCCAGACCAGCGTGGCCAACATGGTGAAACCCTGTCTCTACTAAAAATAAAAAATTAGCTGAGTGTGGTGGCACACTCCTGCAGTCCCAGCTACTCAGGAAGCTGAGGCAGGAGACTCGCTTTTCATCTCAGGAAAAGAGATCACTAGAAAGGCCAACAGCATACAAGAAATGACCAGAGAGGGTACTGACCTACAAAATTCAGAATGTATGGCTGCCCATGAATTATTGTTGTCCAAACAGAATGGACAGAAACAGCAACCCAGAGCAGGCCTCTGACTATGCTACCTGCTAACTCAGAAACCCTACCCTCCTCCACTTTTAAAGTTAAAGAGGGATTGTGAAGGATATTTGTTCTCAAGGCCAAGGGCTAGCCTTAATATTTTTAGGGCAGCTTGAAATAAGCTAACAATACTCAATTGGAAAAAAGTGTTCAGGTTGACAGAGGAAAGGCTTTTGGGAGAAAAGGTTAAAATTTTGACCTTTTTATTAAAAAAAAAAAAAAAATCCCGGAAGTCTAACTCCTCTTTTTGCTTTCTGTTCCTTTATCGTGACAGTCACACTCGTCCTACAGAGCAGCCCAGTGTTTTGCCTTTGTTCATGATGTATGTGATGATGGCTTACCTTACCCTTTTCCAGATGGGATCCTGGATGTCATTCTCCTTGTCTTTGTGCTCTCTTCTATTCATCCTGACAGGTAAATGAAGATGAAAGGGCAAAGCAGATGTGTAAAGCTCCTTTATCAGTAGTGGTTTTCAGAACTATCAAAGCAAAAATGACAATTTTTGAATTTATTATTTAGTGAACGACATTATGTATAATATGTAGCCTTTTAAAGGCAGTTTTTCCTTTCTTCATACTTTTAGAAAGAAACTGGTCAGACTACTTCATTAATGAGCTTTCTGTCACTGTCAGAATGAAGTGAGCATATTCTGGCAAGACACATACCTATTAAAAGTGACAGTGCTTCAAGGAAATTACAAATTCAGAACAACCTAATAGACTCCCAAGAGGGAAATTCTACTTGGTAATCAGAAACAAACATCTTTAGTGTAGTGTCTTCCTGAATGTTCATGAAGAGGTGGGCTTGAAATCTGTTTGGCTTCACAAAGGCCTGTTGATGCGCTTTAAATTTTTTGTTTTAAAGAAACACACTGGGGAATTAGGAGTTATTAAGATTTGCCAGATTATCCTTGGATCTTTATGATCTAAGGTTAGCCTGATGCCATCATTTAAATATTCATGACTTAAATTTTCATACAATGTTTTAAAATTATAAATATAGCTTTTCTCCAGAGAGAAAACATAAAGAGATATTACTGGCAATTAAAATGATTACCTTTCTTAAAATCTTGCCACCTTCTATGTATGAAAGTGCATATATGGTAAGTATCAGGTCTGTGCTTTCACAACGTTTCTTAAAATTGGGTTCTCACGGTTTCCTGGTAGGAGATACAGACTTACCTGTCGTCAACCACTTTTTGTTTGATAAGTGTGACCCTTTTCCATAGAAACTGAGTTACTATGTCCTTCTTTCTTTTCAGTTAAAAGGCAACTAGGACCCTTTACAATTCTTTTACTTCCCATTCAGAAATGAGTACTTTGATTACTTGTAGAAGAACAAATTCCATTTCCAAATAAATATGAGAGAAAGATACATTAGCACCTAGTGAAATATGTCAGGTTTCATGAAGGTACTGTTTCCTCCCGGTTTCTAGAACGTATTTCTTCCTGCTAATCTGTTTAGACTGTAGGCATTGTTCAGGTACTAATAGAAAGATGTCATCTATGTGTTTTGTTTCCTTATATGAACAGTTAAAAGGATAGAGTAGGTGGATAGAGAACAAGATTTCCTATTTGACACCCATAACAAGAAACATTTAAATTCTAAATATGACCACAGAAAGACTATTTGAAATTAGTTCAGATAATGTATTTTCTCATGATTTGAATTGAATGTTAAAGAGAAGAGGGCCAGACGCGGTGGCTCAAGCCTGTAATCCCAGCACTTTGGGAGGCTGAAGCGGGTGGATCACGAAGTCAAGAGATCAAGACCATCCTGGTCAACATGGTTAAACCCCATCTCTACTAAAAATACAAAAAATTAGCTGGGCATGGTTGCGCGTGCCTGTCCTCCCAGCTACTCAGGAGGCTGAGGCAGGAGAATTGCCTGAACCCAGGAGGTGGAGGTTGCAGTGAGCTGAGATCGTGCCATTGCACTCCAGCCTGGGTAACAAGAGCGAAACTCCATCTCAAAAAAAAAAAAAGAGAAGAGAAAGGTTGGTTACAGTAGCTCACTCCTGTAATCCCAGCACTTTGGGAGACCAAGGTGGGTGAATCACCTTAGGTCAGGAGTTCAAGACCAACCTGGTCAACATGGTGAAACCCCGTCTCTACTAAAAAATATAAAAAATGGCTGGGCTTGATGGCCCACACCTGTAAACCCAGTACTTTGGGAAGCTGAGGTGGGCGGATCACCTGAGATCAGGAGTTTGAGACCAGCTGTAGCTAACATGGTGAAACCCCATTTCTACTGTGTGCCTGTAATCCTAGCTACTTGAGAGGCTGAGGCAGGAGGATTGCTTGAACCCAGGAGGCAGAGGTTGCAGTGAGCCAATACCGCACCATTTTACCCCAGTCTAGGCAACAAGAGCGAAACTCTGCCTTAAAAAAAAAAAAAAAAAAAAGCGAGAGAGAAAGAGAGAGAAGAAAAAGCAAATACCTTGGGAAGATCACTTCTATAATACAGTATTTCATTCTATGTATTATAAAAGTAATTCAGATGTATCATGTCAGTGGCCACTGGCTTACCTACATAGAAATGATCTAGAAATAAGGTGAATGAATAGAAAGGGGGAGATATTAACTTTTTTTAAAAGGCAAGGCAGGCCAGGCATGGTAGCTCACACCTGTAATTGCAACACACTTTGGGAGGCCAAGGCAGGAGGATCGCTTGAGGCCAGAAGTTCAAGATCAGCTTCTCCAACATGGTGAAACCCCATCTCTACTAAAAATACAAAAATCAGCTGGGTGTGGTGGCACATGCCTGTGATCCCAGCTACTGGGGAGGCTGAGGCAAGAGAGTAGTTTGAACCCAGGAGGTAGAGGTTGCAGTGTGCCAAGATTGTGCCACTGAACTCCAGCCTGGGCAACAAAGCGAGACCTTGTCTCAAAAATAAAAAAATAAAAGGCTGGATGTTGTGGCTCACGCCTGTAATCCCAGCACTTTGGAAGGCCAAGGCTGGTGGATCACCTGAGGTCAGGAGTTCAAGACAAGCCTGGACAACATGGTGAAACCCTATCTCTAGGAAAAATACAAAATTAGCCGGGTGTGGTGGCACAAGCCTGTAGTCCCAGCTACAGGTATTGATCGACGTATGACCTATGCAACTTACGACCATTCGACTTTACGACCACAATCGCTAGCCACGCCTGCTCCACGTCTGGCAGCGCAAACGTTGCCCAGCTGGGCCTACGACAGTGCGGACCAGCTTCCGGCAGCACTACCATCTCCATGTGCACCATTTCAACTGTTATCCCAGACTCGGTACAGCAATTTGTGTTTTGTGTCTTGGATATTTTTCATCAAACCCCTCCCAAGATGTCTACCAAGAGGAAATTGTCTTTGTCTACGCCTCAGCCTGCCAAGAAGGAAAGAAAGGCCATAGATCTCGACACGAAAAATGAAGGTAATTAAGCAGTATGAAGGAGGAAAGAAAGTGAATGTGCCGGGCACGGTGGCTCAAGCCTGTAATCCCAGCACTTTGGGAGGCCGAGGCGGGTGGATCACGAGGTCAAGAGATCGAGACCATCCTGGTCAACATGGTGAAACCCCATCTCTACTAAAAATACAAAAAATTAGCTGGTCATGGTGGCGCATGCCTGTAATCCCAGCTACTCAGGAGGCTGAGGCAGGAGAATTGCCTGAACCCAGGAGACGGAGGTTGCAGTGAGCCGAGATTGTGCCATTGCACTCCAGCCTGGATAACAAGAGTGAAACTCTGCCTCAAAAAAAAAAAAAAAAGAAAGAAAGTGAATGTGATCTCACGTGATACGAAGTTATCACACTCGACTGCATCGACGATTTTGAAAGATAAAGAAAGAATTCATGAAGCTGTGAAAGGTTCTGCACCCATGCGATCAACAGTTATAACAAAGCAACGAAGTGGGCCCATCCACAAAATGGAGAATGTTTCCTATGGTATTTTTTACATCTGTATTTTGTATTTTTGTATGTACCTGTATTTTGTAATTTTGTATGTTTTGCAAATATTAAACCAATTGTACTGGTAATGCAGTGTTTTACTTAAACCTGACAAATGTAAAAATAAGAAACAAAATGGTGTAGAGATGATACAAATGGCATAAAATGAACAAAGAAAATTATGATATATAACAATGAAAGAAAATTATGATAAAATATGACTTAAAGATTTTTTAAACATCATTTCACAGTACTGTACATATAGCCTACTGAGCTTACGACCAAATCGTGTTACGACCGGTCTGTCGGAACCAATCGTGGTCATAAGTCGAGCACTAGCTGTCCTTGGGAGGCTAAGACAGAAGAATCGCTTGAACTTGGGAGGCGGAGGCTTCAGTGAGCCGAGATTGTGCCATTGCATTCTAGCCTGGGCAAGACAGAGTGAGACTCCACCTCAACTAAATAAATAATAAAAATACAAAAATTATTCAGGCAAGGTAGTGCATGCCTGTAATCCCAGCTACTTGGGAGGCTGAGGCAGGAGAATGGCTTTAACCTGGAAGACAGAGGTTGCAGTGAGCCAAGATCACGCTACTGTACTCCAGCCTGGGCGACAGAGTAAGACCCTGTCTCAAAAAGAGAAAAAAATAAAGGCAAGGCAATCTCTATGGGATCACTTAGGACTATAGTAGTAGATTCAACCCCAGAAAAGTTCTAGAAATGTGGAATCTTGGTAGCCTGGAAAATTCAGTCACAAGCTGGAAGGCCCAGCTTAAGTGAGAATAAATTGTAGGTGGCTACAAAAGAAAAGCAAATTGTCCTTCTTGTCACTGAAATGAAAGCAGAAAATATTACAGAGCCAAGCATAAAGGAGGCAATCAGTACATTTTTTATCTCTTCTTTTCCTTCTCATCTCCCTCTATCCAGAGATAAGTGAAGACAGCAGAGTTGGTTCAAGTAGGATGAAGAAAGAAAAGGGACTTCGTACCATTCCTGTCTTGTCCATCTCACCCCAGCCCACTCCCACCTGCAGTTCTCAGGAACTGGCTCGGGAACTGCACTATGAACCAGGATGAAATGATCAAGAAAAGTAGCTCCCGCTCCTTGCCTCTATTTTCAACCCCAGACATTAAAGGATAGTTGGGAGGAAAGGATTTGCAGAAGGAGGTGTACATTTTAAAGTGTTTTTTTTTCTGCATTTTACTTTCATGCTTGTTTGACTAATAATTACAGAAATATTTTGCTCTGTACATAAAACAGTTATCCCAAAAGGGAATATTTTAAAGTTTAGATACGATTTTCTTTCATTGGCAAAGCCTACGATATAAGCACAGTGTGAAAATAACCTGTCATAGAATAAACAAACAATAATTTTGTTTTTTTCTTTTATATCCTTATGTTCTAGTTTTTTTAAAGGGCTTTTCACCTAATCGTGCCACCTCCTGTCCTACTTCTCTTGTTTTATAGCTGCTTTCATTTTCTCAGTATCTACTTCCTTCATAACCTGACATAATCTGGCTTTTACTTCACTCTTCCACTGAACAATGTTTTAATTGGAAGGAATTTACAGATTATCGGATCTAAACATTTAATTATTTTCAAATAGGAAAACCTCAGCAGCTTTAAGTAGCTTAAACGGAACAGAGACAACAAGGACTTAGCACAGAAGCTGCCATTTACCATTCTCTGCCCATTGCAGACATTGATAATCAATTTTGTACTCTAACTCCCAATGAGCTTTATGAGTCCTTCTCAGAGCTCTGTAGGCAGCCAATGCTGTCACTCAGCATTAATATGAGATCTGAAATCTGTGCCATCCCTGGCCCATAATCACACATAAGGCCATGAGCATTTAGCCAAAAACACTAAATCAGGAGCAGCTATAAGGGGTTATGTTTGACTGGAAGCCAGATAAGTAGAATAAACAGTAAACGAGAAAGGCAAAGTCTCCCCGCTGTTGAGCTAGGACTTGGAATGTGAATAAAATTTAAATAGAGAGTAAGGAGGAGAGAATTCTTTGAGGGGAAACCATGTGAGCAAAGGCAGAGGCTGCTCAAAGCCAAGCATGACAGTTTGGCTAGGGGAGCTGCTTCAGATTGGAAAGCTGTTGGAAAGATTAATTGGGGTCATTGGAGATCTTAAGAGCTCAACTAAGAAATTAAAATATTATCTTATGGATTAAAATCATGGTAGTTTTTAAGCTAGGAGATGATTTGACAAAATTATCATTTTAAGCAGAATTATTCATTGATAACATGCAGGAAGGACTGACAGGGAGAATAATACAGAATCTTAGGAAGCAGATTTGTTTCCAGGCCTAAGGAGATAGGGGTTGGTACTAAGGGAGTACCAATGGGAAGCAAAAAAGACAGGAAATATCGAAGATGTCATTGAAAATAAAAATTAAAAAAAAGAGGACATAGAATTTTATGGCCACATGGAGAGGATAGGAGAAAAATAATTTCTCTTTCATGAGGTGAATGATGGTACCTCTGAACTAAATAAAGTCAAAAGGAGAACGAGCTCATTTTGGAGGAAAGATATTCCTTCTCTAGATATGTAGGGCCAGGTGTGGCGGCTCACGCCTGTAATCCCAGCACTTTGGGAGGCCGAGGTATGTGGATCATGAGGTCAAGAGGTCGAGACCAGCCTCACCAACAACCCCATCTCTATTAAGCATACAAAAATTAGCTGAATGTGGTGGCACAGGCCTGTAATCTTCGCTACTCAGGAGGCTGAGGCAGGAGAATCTCTTGAACCTGGGAGGCGGAGGTTGCAATGAGTCAAGATAATGCCATTGCACTCCAGCCTGGGCAACAGAGCAAAACTCCATCTCAAAAAAAACAACAACATATGTACAACTTGAGATGCTTTGGCATATTTTTTATCTTGCAAGGAAAATGAAGCACACTCAGTTTTTGTCTATCTCAGAACTACCTTAATTTGCTGTAAGTACCAGGAAACGTCTGTGGTTTTAAAGTTTAGCTTTGACATCATATATCAAGCTCTGTGAAGTTACCACTCTGGTCATTTGGGTGATTTCTTGATACTGTAGGACTTTTGAATCTAGTCATCTAACAAGTTGGTAGTCTTTTCTCCTTTACAAAATACTTGTGTTTTTATTACCCTTAACGTTTATGGTTTAAATTTCTTTGGCCTTATTAAGCTTTTCTTATTTTGCCTTCAACAAAGTTAAATCCAGCATGTAAAACAAGATTTCCACAAACTGGGTATCTTTTTAATACTTTGTTTTCAAAGGATGCAGGATGTTGTAAACCGACTCTCCAACTTACTGAAACCTGGGGGAATGCTGTTATTTCGAGACTATGGAAGATATGATAAGACTCAGCTTCGTTTTAAAAAGGGTAATAGTATATCAGTTTGAGATTGTTTTTAAGTATTCTAAAGAATGCCTTGTTTATATTTCACATCAAAGTATTTAGTTTTTGGTTTTTTTTTTTAAAAGAAGTGCCTTTAAAAGTTTCTCTTTTCACATATTTTTCAGGACATTGTTTATCTGAAAATTTTTATGTTCGAGGAGATGGTACCAGAGCATATTTCTTTACAAAAGGTATGCTAATCTACAAGAGAAAATAATTGCTCAAAATTGTTCTTGTTGGTTATTATCTCATTAGTTATAGCTCAAAAGCTATAAAACTGAGGCTTCAGTCATTGATTAAGCATTGGATGTCTTCATACTTCGATGCTTATAACTTATAGCTACATAAAAGGTTGAAAATGGCTCTTTACTTTTTAATTTTTTTTCAGTTAAAACTGCTTTAAGGCCAGGCGCGGTGGCTCAAGCCTGTAATCCCAGCACTTTGGGAGGCCGAGGCGGGTGGATCACGAGGTTGAGAGATCGAGACCATCCTGGTCAACATGGTGAAACCCCGTCTCTACTAAAAATACAAAAAACTAGCTGGGCGTGGTGGCGCGTGCCTGTAATCCCAGCTACTTAGGAGGCTGAGACAGGAGAATTGCCTGAGCCCAGGAGGCGGAGGTTGTGGTGAGCCGAGATGGCGCCATTGCACTCCAGCCTGGGTAACCAGAGCGAAACTCCGTCTCAAAAAAAAAAAACAAACTGCTTTAAAAGCCGGGCACGGTGGCTCATGCCTGTAATCCCAGCACTTTGGGAGGCCTAGGTGGGTGGATCACCTGAGGTTGGGAGTTCCAGACCAACCTGACCAACATGGAGAAACCCTGTTTCTACTAAAAATAGAAAATTAGCTGGGTGTGGTGGTATGTGCCTATAATCCCAGCTACCTAGGAGGCTGAGGCAAGAGAACTGCTTGAACCTGGGAGGCGGAGGTTCTGGTGAGCCATTGCACTCCAGCCTGGGCAAAAAGAGCAAGATTCCGTCTTAAAAAAAAAAAAAAAAAAAAAAACTGCTTTAAAGAATCTCTTGTTTTATCCTCATAGCCAAAGGAAGGTGAAGGCTATTCCATTTTGGAGATATTGTTAGCCCAGATATGAAAAAAACTGATGATATGCCACAGCTAAAGGAGGAAATTGGACAAGTTTATAGAAAATACTTAACTTGGGCCATCACAGGGGTGCTCACCTGTAATCCCAGCACTTTGGGAGGTCAAGGTGAGAAGATTGCTTGAAGCCAGGAATTTGAGACCAGCCTACACAACAAAATGAGACCCTGTCTCTACAAAACAAGTTTTTTAAATTAGCTGGGCTGGTTGTGCACACCTGTAGTCCTAGCTACTTGGAAGGCTAAGGTGGGAGGATCACTTGGGCGGGGAGGTTGAGGCTACTATGAGCTATGATTGTATCACTGTGCTCCAGCCTAGGCAACAGAATGAGACATTGTCTCTAAAAAACCAATACATATTCAAAATAGAAAGAAAGAAGGAAAACTGGCCAGGCTCAGTGGCTCACGCCTGTAATCCCAGCACTTTGGGAGGCCGAGGCGGGTGGATCACGAGGTCAAGAGATCGAGACCATCCTGGTCAACATGGTGAAACCCCGTCTCTACTAAAAATACAAAAAATTAGCTGGGCATGGTGGCGTGTGCCTGTAATCCCAGCTACTCAGGAGACTGAGGCAGGAGAATTGCCTGAACCCAGGAGGCAGAGGTTGCGGTGAGCCGAGATCACACCATTGCACTCCAGCCTGGGTAACAAGAGCAAAACTCCGTCTCAAAAAAAAAAGATGAAAAATATAAAAATGGCCGGGCGCGGTGGCTCAAGCCTGTAATCCCAGCACTTTGGGAGGCTGAGGTGGGTGGATCACGAGGTCAAGAGATTGAGACCATCCTGGTCAACATAGTGAAACCCCGTCTCTAACTAAAAATACAAAAAATTAGCTGGGCATGGTGGCGTGTACCTGTAATCCCAGCTACTCAGGAGGCTGAGGCAGGAGAATTGCCTGAAACCAGGAGGCAGAGATTGCAGTGAGCTGAGATCACGCCATTGCACTCTAGCCTGGGTAACGAGAGAAACTCCGTCTCAAAAAAATAAATAAATAAATAATATAAAAATTAGCTGGGTATGGTGGCAGGCACCTGTAATCCCAGCTACTTGGGAGGCTGAGGCAAGAGAATTGCTTGAACCTAGGAGGCAGAGGTTGCAGTGAGCCAAGATTGCACCATTGCACTCTAGCCTGGGCAACTGAGCGAAACTTATTAAAAAAAAAAAAAAAAGGAAGGAAAATTACTTATCTCTAGCCAATCTCTCTTTTTTTTTTTTTTTTGAGATGGAGTTTCACTCTTGTTACCCAGGCTGGAGTGCAATGGCACGATCTCGGCTCACCGCAACCTCCGCCTCTTGGGTTCAGGCAATTCTCCTGTCTCAGCCTCCCGAGTAGCTGGGATTACAGGCACGCACAACCATGCCCAGCTAATTTTTTGTATTTTTAGTAGAGACGGGGTTTCACCTTGTTGACCAGGATGGTCTTGATCTCTTGACCTCGTGATCCACCCGCCTCAGCCTCCTAAAGTGCTGGGATTACAGGCGTGAGCCACCGCGCCCGGCCCTCTTTTTTTTTTTTTTTTTTTTTTTTTGAGACAGAGTCTCACTCTGTCACCCAGGCTAGAGTGCAGTAGCAAAATCTTGGCTCACTGCAGTCTCTGCCTCTCCGGTTCAAATGATTCTCCCACCTCAGCCTCCCAAGTACCTGGGATTACAGGCGCCTACCACCATGCCTAGCTAATTTTTCTATTTTATTAGAGATGGAGTTTCACCGTGTTGGCCAGGCTGGTCTGGAACTCCTGACCTCAGGTGATTTGTCTGCTTCAGCCTCCCAAAGTGCTGGAATTAAAGGCAGGAGCCACTGTACCCAGCCAATTTCTCATTTTTTAAAAAAGCATTTCTAACAGTACCAAATGAACGCTGCATTCAAGGATTTCCCCAAATTTATGTGAGTACTTTTATTATAATCTGCCATTTTGAGTTTCTGTAAACCAACAAAAACTCAGAGAGGGAGCACCTTTCAAAATATTGAAAGCTGCAACCAATAGTTTTATATATCTGTTGATGTCTGCTGTGTTAGTCTGTAAACAGGTGTATTTTTATATGCCTGATGTATTTTTTGTGAAGTAGAAGAAACTCACTTGGTTTCACAGGTTTGCTTCACCAAATTGTTCTAGAGAGTGTTTTTTATATAAGTGAAACTTAGATGGTCAGTTATTCCATCAGTGTTCCATTCCTGACCTCCCCCATCCCTAGTCACATGTCATATCTTTGATTGCCATTTTTGTCTCACAGGGGAAGTCCACAGTATGTTCTGCAAGGCCAGTTTAGATGAAAAGCAAAATCTGGTTGATCGTCGCTTACAAGTTAATAGGAAAAAGCAAGTGAAAATGCACCGAGTGTGGGTTCAAGGCAAATTCCAGAAACCATTGCACCAGACTCAGAATAGCTCCAATATGGTATCTACACTCCTTTCTCAAGACTGAACTTTGTAACATGTTAAGGTACAAAGCCAGAGGACTGTGCTATTCAAGGACTACTGTAAGTCTTTTGTGTCGCAAAAGACAATGAGAAAAAAAGAAGAGAATTTGTATTTCCCGCTGTTTTGTCATAGGTGAGTTCCTTTGTGCATTTTAGCACGTGTAAGTAGTTCAGCAGAGTGTGCCTTTTTCTGTGTTTTGAAAACTCGATTATGCCCAAGCTTGTTTGAATTTATTACATCTAACCATTGTATTTGTTCCTTGCATTTTATAAACATTTAATTAAATTAGTGTTACGTCATATAATTTTGAGAAAACACAACTTGACATTTTTTACAAGTAATAAAATCATTTACTTTGTTTGTTTAGGCTTAGTAAACCAGTTCCCAAACACAGTCAAACTCTTCCCATTGTCATCTGATTGCAAAGAGAAAGCACACCTTGTTTCCAGGGGAAGCTACAACAAGCCCAAGGTCAGAGTGTATTATTTTTTTGTTTTGTTGTCTATTTTCTCCCAGTTTTTTTTTTAAAATTCAGAGGCTGATATCTGAAATAGAATTTTAGTTCTTCTTTCTTTTCCTAAAATTGAGGAAGTATGGCCCATGCTAACATTATTTTCAGGCTATTCTTAGATATACAAGTTGTTAGGCCAGGTGCAGTAGCGCATGTAAGTCCAGTACTTTGTGAGGCTGAGGCAGGCAGATTGCTTAAGCTCAGGAGTTTGAGACCAGCCTGAACAACATAGCGAAACCCTATTCTACTAAAACTACAAAAATTAGCCAGGCATGGTGGCACACACCTGTGGTCCCAGCTACTTGGGAGACTGAGGTGGGAGGATCGCTTGAGCCTGAGAGGCAGAGGTTTCTGTGAGCTGAGATCACACCAATGCACTCCAAACTGGGTGACAAGGTGAAACCTTATCTCACAAAAAAAAAAAAAAAAAAAAAAAAATAATGTGTAAACTGACAAGCTGTTTGTCAGGGGTTTTTGAACCACAGCAACTTCATCTTAAATAAAGACTGTAAAATGAGGCTGAGACCTACTGGGCAGCATTCCCAGGAGGTTAAGGAATTCTTAGTCACAGGATGAGACAGGAGGTCAGTACAAGATACAGGTCATACAGACTTTGCTGATAAAATAGGTTGCAGTGAAGAAACCAGCCAAATTCCATCAAAACCAACATGGCAGTGAGAGTGTCCCTCTGGTCATCCTCACTACTACACTCCCACCAGTGCCATGAGACTTTACATCAGAAAGTTACTCTATATGGTGTACAAAGGGGAGGCATGAATAATCTGCCCCTTGTTTAGCATATAATCAAGAAATAACCATAAAAATGGGCAACGAACAGCCCCTGGGGCTGCTTTGCCTGTGGAGTAGCCATTCTTTATTCCTTTACATTCTTTTTTTTTTTTTTTTTTGAGACGGAATTTTGCTCTTGTTACCCAGGCTGGAGTGCAATGGCGCGATCTCGGCTCACCGCAACCTCCGCCTCCTGGGTTCAGGCAATTCTCCTGCCTCAGCCTCCTGAGTAGCTGGGATTACAGGCACACACCACCATGCCCAGCCAATTTTTTGTATTTGTTAGTAGAGACGGGGTTTCACCATGTTGACCAGGATGGTCTCAATCTCTTGACCTCGTGATCTACCCGCCTCGGCCTCCCAAAGTGCTGAGATTACAGGCTTGAGCCACCGCGCCCGGCCTTCCTTTACATTCTTAATAAACTTGTTTTCACTTAACTATATGGACTCAATTCTTTCTTGTCCAAGATCCAAGAATCCTCTCTTGGGGTCTGGATCCAGACCCTTTCTGGTATCAAGTTGTAAGCTCTGTTTAAGACAACTGTCATACCCAAGAAAATTATTAAATTGTAGCAGTTAAAAATTTATTTACCCCCTTGCTTCAAAAAGGACATAAGTTGGCTAGCAAATCACATTTCGTAGAAATGAAGTTTTTTAGATTGGTCTGCTACTCATTACATAATATTTATTGACTACTTACATATGAGTGCTGAATTCTATGGAATAATACAAACAATAAACACCCAACCTTGTTTATGCTCTTTAGGGAGCATAAATAACATCCAGCTGGCAAAATAAAATGTGCATATCCCAAACCTGTAAATCATGATCTAAGACAATATACAATCAAATACTCAAATAGGGAACTTAACAGCTAGCAGACTTTGATTATGAACCACAGAAACCTAGAAGAAATGAATACTCTCTTGAAAGGACCATCATTGGAATAATTTAGTTCAAACTGTTTTTCCTTTCTGAGCTCACTTAAAATGCAATTTTCTGCCGGGTGCGGTGGCTCAAACCTGTAATCTTAGCACTTTGGGAGGACGAGGTGGGTAGATCACGAGGTCAAGAGATCGAGACCATCCTGGTCAACATGGTGAAACCCTGTCTCTACTAAAAATACAAAACATTAGCTGGGCATGGTGGCGCGTGCCTGTAATCCCAGCTACTCAGGAGGCTGAGGCAGGAGAATTGCTTGAACCCAGGAGGTGGAGGTTGCGGTGAGCCGAGATCGTGCCACTGCACTCCAGCCTGGGTAACAAGAGCGAGACTCTGTCTCAAAAAAGAGTTAACTAATAACTAAAGCTGGACCGCCTGCCTCAGCCTCCCAAAGTGCTGGGATTACAGGCGTGGGCCACCGTGCCCGGTTTATTGGTTCATCTCTTAACAGGCTGGGACAGGGCAGCTTAATTGATGATGACACCAGAATGGGCAACATGGTGAAACCTTGTCTATACTAAAAATGCAAAAATTAGGCAAGCATGGTGGCACGCACCTGTGGTCACAGCTACTCAGGAGGCTGAGGTGGAAAGATTGCTTGAGCCTGGGAGGCAGAGGTTGCAGTAAGCTGAGATTGCACCACAGCACTGCAGCTTGGAGTAGAAGAAAATGTCACTTCCTGGAATGGGAGAAAGTTCTTCAAAAGAAAATCGAGACACTGCTATCAAAAAAACCAGGGGAAGATGCTGTCCAGTCACACTCAACACATCATATAGCAGTGATAGCAGCAGTAATAGTAGTTCTACAGAGAGAAAGAGAGATGAGCTCTGAAAAAGAATGGAAAAAATCCGGTTTCTTGGGGAACGTAGGTCTCAGGCTAGTTCTTGAATGTACATTCTCAGCAGATGGTGAGAAGACTAGTGTGGTATGTGACATTAATCATGAGGAATAGGGAGAAAAGATGGGAAGGGGCCAGCTTGTAAATAGCCTAGAATAGCAGGTATATTGACTTCTAGTCTCTGAACTGGAGCCATCTGAGATTATTTTGTTTATGTTTTATCCTAGACATGGTGTCTTACAAATGTATTGAGAGAGATTGAGGAGTTGTCTGTGGAATGGAATGGAGTGAGGTCAGAGATCAGTGGCAAGGAAGACCACATAAAGGTTTTTGCACAAACTTGCCTTGATGGCTAGTCCTCAGAAGTACAATTATCAAGCTTTCTGTTTAAACATGCGTAAGTCAGTAAATGTAAACATTAAAATTTGCCCAAGACTCTTAACTCAGTTGTATTTCATAATTAAAGTGTACATTAAAAAGCCAAACTAGTAATGAAAGTATTAAATACAACAGGGGCAGTTTAGATAAGTTAATGTTGCTATGGGAACCCCAGCAGATCTCCTTGTGTCTCCATTTAAAAATCATGGCCCAAGGTGGTTTTAAAAACAACAGAAGGTAAAATTATTCTCACATTCTCACACATGTAAATTGTACTGTCTCTCTCAGTTCTAAATAGCGGATTCAAGCCAGCCTCTTGACTGGCACAGTAAAATTCGGCTTCGTGTCTTATTCTATAATGTATTACAGCATGTGAGTTAACCTTTAGAAGCTTCAAAAATACATCAACCAAATTTGGACTGTGAGACACAAACTGGTCTCTTTTGGGCTCTGTCCAGCATAGCCCTCCTATTCCACATGGCTGCGCAGCAGGGCCATTTCCACCAGTGTCTTCTACTTGCCTGGTCAGTCTTTCTCTTTCTGAACCTACGTACAGCAACTTCCTTCTCAGGGTTTGCTGCTAGACAGAAATGTCTATTTTGGCAGAGAAAGAAAAGAGAAAAACCTATTGGGAATTTTGTCTATAGATGTTAAGAAATCATGAAGTGTTGCAAATGTTACTGCTTGGGAATTAGTTTAAAATATTTGATAACTGCATGAAATTCTGATTTACCCCTCAAATCCATAAAGCTAGGACCAGTTGGTTAGGCAGAGTTTGATATTTAAAAATTCATCTTCTGAGAGAGCAGAATTTCAAAAGGACCATTTTCTTTCCAGCAGTAAAAGGTACATTCTTTCATCTTCTTACAATATAGAAATAATGGAATATATTGTTTAAATGCATCCTTTGGTTTTTTTTTTCTATTTCTAAAAATTCACTTTTGAGCATTGTCCAAATGTAAAAATTCTCACACATGAGGAACTGTTTCCAAAGGTTCTGAGAAAGTCAAGATAACAGTGTCTATTATTAAAAGTTTCGCATTCGGTATGACACATTTGCCTGTATTGAAACACCCATTTAACATTGACTTCTGAGAACTTATTTGCTTTGCCAGTCTCAGTTCCATATGCTTTGTCTCCAAATTGTGAACATGTTCCAGTTTCTACCGGTATGTGATTCTGTGTCGTTGCTATCCTCTAGTTTGCACGTGAAAATTCACCCATATGCATCTTGCTGCCCTCTTGGAGGAAAAACTTAAAGCCATCAGAACCATTTTGATTGTTAAACCACAAAACTTCCAACTCATCAAAGTCCTGAAGCCTGAATAGATCACACATTGTTACTTCTCATTGGTTCTGATGTTTGTTATGCTCCTCACAAGTGCAGATAACTTCACATTTGCATCGCTAATAGACCTCTTTCAAAGCCCCTGCTCCTCCTGCTTCCTGCCTCTATTAGTCATCAGGAGACTTTGCGTTGGCGTGGGTATTTTCCCCGCTTGTGAAAGTGCATTGTCAATTCTAGAGCATTGAATATATGTGAGGTATTGTTATTAATAACAGCATTTGCAATCTGCAAGACAGTACACACAGTATTCCAGCAACAGAGACTTTTTCAAAGGTTTTATGAGACATTGTAAGAAAGACAGTATTTTTCATTGGAAAAAAGTGTTGCCTCAGAGTCAAACAGGAAGCATGGGTCCTAGCTCCTATTGAACTGCTTACTACTCTTAATTTAGCTCTGAATGCTAGATTTCATGTATACTGTACTCATTATTTAATCCCCAAACTCCTACGAATTCATTTTCATGATAACCATTTACAGAAGAGATATTGGGTAACTTGCTCAGGATATCACATCTAGTAAGTAGCAGAATCACAACGAAGACCCAGAACTGTCTGATTCCAAAACCTCTACTCTACTCGCTGCAC